GATGTAGAAGTCCCATGTGGACGAACACTCCACAGACACTTCTTCTATGAATTTTGACCAGTTGTGAGTTTCTGTATTAACTGTCACTCATTACACAAGGAAACTTCTGGGGAGGTGGGTCTGAGAGCTGCACTAATTTTGACATCCATTTAACAAAAATAATAGTAAGGTTCAACCATGGCACCTAGGAGTTCACCAACCTGGTTTCATGACGGTGACTTTAGTAATAGGGTCTCACCATCAGGTTCTGGCAAACAACCGAGAGCAATGGCAACAGCCCGTATTGTTTTGGAGGTCTTCAGGACACCTGGGACCAGCAACCAGAGGGAGATGTCCCATGCCTGGCATTGGGCTTTTTTATTTGACCACCTGTGGCTTTTTGCACTTCTTTCTAAGAGCAGGACATAAACTTCCTTTTGCAAAGTGACAAAAACTTCTCCTGTGATAGTGTCCCCTTCCTCCATCCTTGGGAGGATGAAAGTGACTCATGTTACAATAGAGACAACCCCAAGTTACATACATGTAGACAAAGCCCCAGGGAAACAACCCTTTCTCTATAGTTCCTAGTTACACCCTCATGAGTACTTTGAAGCTCAGCCTCCCATTTGCTTTGTTAGATGGTATGTATTACCTAATCAAACTGCTTCAGTTTTACTTTTTTTTTTTTTGTGAATTCCCATCCACATTATTAAAATGGCATGTCTTTTCTCTTGTTAATGCTTAATGTATAATTTGTAGGCTTGTATGTATCTGTATGTAATGTATTTGTAGGCTTGCAGGGTATTTGATCCCATTGTGAATGCCTGGATTGTGAACCGTAAAAACCTGTTTCTTGTTTAATCCTTTAATCCTTTAACTTTCTGTTTATTGTAAACAGGTGATTATGGTGTGGCTCAGCCCCAGCACACACCTTTAATTCAAGAGTTTTCTGTACACAGGTTTTAATAAAGTTAACCCTAGGTCAAAAGGTGGCCAGTTGACAGGGATTAACAGAAAGGAGGGACTTTGACTTGAAGGGTATTTAAGACAGCATGGAGTAGAAAGAGCTTTTTGGCTTTCAGCTTTTTCCTCCTAGGCTGTCAGGTGAGCTAGCAGGCCTTTCCCTCCTGGGCTGTCAGCAGAGCTAGCAAGTTTTTGGCCTTGGGCTTTTGACTTTTGGCCTTTGGCTTTTCCCTTCCGGATTAGAGCTGAGTAGAAAGGTCAGCTGGGTGCTTTCTCTGTCTCTCTGAGCTAGCAAGTTTTCACCCCAGAATCTGGCTCCTGAGTCTGCATTGGTAAAATTGAACAATTCGGGGTTTTGTTTTTTTATAACAAGACATGTATCAGTTGAGCCCAGCGAGGGTGAGGAACTATTTTTCTTGTCTGCTGATGGGCATCTCATTTGATCCCTGCCTCGCAGGAGGCCTGCATGTTACCTTTATTTCACCGGTGACAAAACAGGCGTAGGTAGTATAAGAAAGCTATTTAAAGCTTCAGTTACCAAAACACAGTGACACTCACACAGTGTCACTACCACCGCACGGTAGCCATCACTCAGATGTCATCACACTGTGACCATACCGTAGCCATCACATGGTGGCCTTCGCAGTGCCAGTCTCCCAGTGGTGACCACACAGAGACCATCATGCAGTGGCTGCCATACAGTAACTATCCCATAGTGACCACCGTAAGGTAACCGTCATGGAATGACTATCACACGGTAGCCGTTACACAGTGACTATCAGTCACCATTACGCTATGGCCAATCCCACAGTGGACATCACACATTAGTCATAACACGGCGGGGCGGCCACTATATGGGTGGCCATTACTCAAGGGTCATTACACTGTGGCCATATAAACACTAATAAACAGTACCGTTAGAATATGGTAAACGGTAGCATGTTTAAGTCAGATGAATTAAGATTATTTTTCTAGTACTCTGGAGAGATTTTGAAAAAAATCCATGATCAAATCCATGATCTCTGATCTTGGTGCGCTTACTCTGCACTCTTGGATGCCCAGACATATAACTCTGCCCCCATGTAACTAACACAGGCTGAAGAAGAAGCTCTTCCAAGTCATGAACAAACAATAACACAGCCAAACACAAGTCCAACGTTTAACAGTGGGAAGGCAGGCTTTAATCCCAACACTCAGTAGTCAGAGGCAGATGGATCTCTGAGAGTTAGAAGTTAGCCAGGTTTAAACAGCAAGTTCTAGTCCAGCCAGGGCTGTCTGAAGGACCCTGTCTCAGAAACAAACCACCTAGCAACAACGACAAAAACAAAACAACAAAACTCTTAAGTGAGTTATGAAAGAGCAAGTTTCTCTCTCTCTCTCTCTCTCTCTCTTTCTTTCCCTCCCTCCCTCCCTCCCTCCCTCCCTCCCTCCCTCCCTCCCTCTGTTGTTGGTTTGGTTTGGTTTTCCGAGGTACGGTTTCTCTGTGTAGCCTTGGCTGTCCTGGAACTCACTTTGTAGACCAGGCTGGTTGCTGCCTTCCAGGTGCTGGGATTAAAGGCCTGTGCCACCATCTCGCGGCAAGTTTTCTTTTTCTTATTGGACTTGAAGTTTTATTTCACATGTTTTTGGCGTGGCTTCTGTTGATATTTTTTGGTTTTCCAGAGATAATCTATCATATAACACAGAAAGGCATACGATCTGTTGCCTTGTGCCTATACAATCATAGATACAGAGGAGCACTGCTGTTAAAATCTCCCTGTTTCCAGGGACACACAGCCTCGTGACACCCTGCGGATATCTGAGGATGTGGTGGGCTAAACGCGTGATGCAGTTCCCCAGCACGGACAACAGAGGGCGCGCTGCCCTCAGAAAGACGAGCTCCCCACTTAGGACGCCAGCACAGCCAAGAGTATTCGGGACAATAAGTTGCAGAGACTTGGGGTTCACAGAACTTTCTGGCGATGGTTTGGCCTGGTTAACTAGAACCCAGCAATGTAGAACTGTACAATATCCTCGAAGCTCCATGAATACTGAGGACAAAGCCGACAAGCTGCTCCTCAACCTCCCCCATGACAGCACAGAAGCTTTGGTGTGGCCACAGTTAGGGACAGGGCAGCCCCGCCCGCCGGTGCTGAAGGCTGCCTGCTCTTATTTTAGTATTATGGTTCACGGGGTCCTGAGACTGAACCGGCCTTCCTCCTTCTCTTCGGGAGGTTTACCCCACAGGCCAACACACCTCCCTTTGGCTTAAAGGGCTACAGAAAGGAGGGAAAGACCTGCTTGCCTCTCCCGTCCCACCTGTCACTTTTGGTGCTGCCGTGAAATGGGACTGAAGAGGGAAGCTGACAGCAAACGCAGCCAGGAGAAAATCAAAACCCCAGGTAAGTCCATTTTCTGCTTCCCCGGTGCTACCCCTTCGGCCTTAGGGTCCCTCCTGGGTTAGACCTGGTCCACCAGCCAGGAGTCATTGTCCTAATATAGTCCAGACTTACATCTGCCTCCAGGGGAACCGGGGTACAGGCAGGAGTCCAGCGCAGAAAGCGGCAACCCTCACCCCGTGAATGTCAATGTCATTATAACCTCAGGAAGGTCAAAGGAAATTACAGGTGGAAACAAACAACCCATACACCGCAGGGAGGGGATGCGGAGACATTTTAATGTCCTGTAGGCATACTCTAAGGGTTGTGAGGGGTGGACTGCCTCTGCCCAGCAGCCCTTCAGCTTTAGAATAGGAGTGGGTGTGGCCCCTTATTGACTCCTCTCAGGGAGGTATGGACACTCCTGCAGTCACCGGCAGTTGGAGTGAAACGGCAGGCAGGTTTGCACCATCCTTTTTTTGAGGGTGGGGGGGGCGTAGTTTCAGTAAACCATGCACTGGCTGTGGAAGGCTCCCAGCCAATGCTGGATGGAGAGACGGGTGTGTCCTAGCTGAGACAAGCCATGTTCCTTTCTGTTGCTGGCTCAGTCTCAGGAAGTGGTTGGAAGATGCTGACCTGAGCAACCCACAGCCTTGCCTATCTTCCCCCGAAACATTCAGGGATTACCTTACCAATACAGCTCTCCCAGGGTTGAACATGTCTCTAGGCCTGCAGCCTAGTGGCTCTGGGAGAACTGGGTTATCCTGAAGGGGTCCATTTTGCTCCTTCGTTCAGTCTGAGACATTGCGAGTCTCTGGCTTACTCTGCGTATTGCTAGGCAAAGTCCTTCTGCCAGAGGGGATACGCCTATCCTGTGACTGACAGCATTTTCACCAAACGGCATTGCACTTGCTACCGTAAGTGGGAGTGCCTGCTTCCCACTTACAAGCCTCTCTCCATCCCACTCCCGTCTCCCCTCGCCATCTGGTGGCCTGCTCTGGGTTCTCATCCAATCCGACTCACAGTTCCAGTGTCATTCGCTGTCACCGTGAAGCCTGGCGGGCTTGCCTATGCCGGGCCCTTGTCCAGTGCCTCCCTGGGTGGCATGAGCCTGTGAGAAGTTGCTGTACGTCAGCAGCCACAGCAGCACTCCCACCAACAAAAGGCTCCGGTAGAGGCCATACTTAGCACTTCAAGCGGCACCTCCACCCCTTGAAGAGGCCGCGCCAGTTCCTTCTCTGCTCTTCTTCAGTCCCTTTGAACCTCGGGTTCAGATGCCCCTCAGTCCTCTCAGTACTGAGGTGAAATGAGCTGCTTCGTGGGCTCTGGGCTGTCTGTCGTGCATCTAGGCATAGACACTGTGTGCTGCAGGCTTCCCTGCCCCCTTTTCTGTCTTGATCTTTTGAGGCAGAGTCTCACTGTGTAGACCAGGCTGGCCACCAACTCACAGACACCTGTCTCTGCTTGGTGAGTGCTCCAATTACAGGTGTGCACCCCAACCCTCCTCTTCTTCCTTCCTGCTAGTTTCCCATCTGTCCTGGGGCAGCTGCTGGCAAGCATGGGGTCAGTGGTGCCAAACAGTAGGTCCATGCTGGCTACATCTTCTTGTGGCCTCAAAAGGTAACTTTTCCAAGCGATTCCGTATCACCGCTCCTTTCAGTTACTTTTCTACTGCTGTGATAAGACACCGTGACCGAGGCATCTCGTAGAGGAGTTTATTTGGGGCTTACAGTTGCAGCGGGTTAGAGTCCATGACTATCATGGGGGAAAGCATGGCGGCAGGCATGGTGCTGGCGCAGTAAGAGAGAGCTTACATCTCGATCCACAAACACCAGGGACAGTTACCTGGGAATGGCACAGGCTTTCCAATCCCCAAAGGCCACCCCCAGTGACACACCTTCTAATCCCTCCCAAACAGTTCCACTAACTGGGGACCAGGTATGTAGATACGAGGCCCATGGGAACATTCTCAAACTGCAACTATTCTGACCTCTTCACCGATAAGAAAAGCAATTTGTGGGGCTGAATTGGGAAGCCAGGGGAAGAAAGGCATGAAGCAGCTAGGACAAGCTACCCGCTGATTTGGGGTCTTCTGAATGGTTTCCACAGAGCCTGCCCTTCCTGAATATCTGTATTGATGCTTTGCACACAACACTGCATACCCCATTGATTCACGGTTCGTTCCAATGGATTCAGGCTATAGATGTTGGCTCTTCGGTTATGTACCTTCAGTGTGTGTATGTGTGTGTGTGTGCGCGCTGCATGTACATGGAGGCCAGAGGTTGACATTGGTAGTCTGACATTGGTAAGTTGCTTTCCATCTTACTTTTTGAGACCATCCTTTCCTGAACCTGGAGGTCACTGATTGGCTGGAGCAGTTAGCCAGTGAGCCCCAGAGATCCTGCTTCTCTTCCTCAGCCTGGGATCTTAATGCAGGTCCTCATGCCTGCAGGCAAAAACTTATCAACTGAGCCGTGTTCCAGGCCCTGCTTAGACTTCCCACATTTGCTCTAGTTATACTCTGCCTCCACAGGAAAAAAAAAACAGATGGATGTTGTCTCTTGCTGAGGGGAGGCATAGGCAGTGTGTTTTGAGGCTGTACCTAGAATCCAGAGTGCAGACTGTAAATGGTTTTTCAATCAGGCAAAGCCCATCTACGCTGTGGGGTAGCAGGACAAAACATTTCTGGTTTTCCCTAACAGGTGAGTCATCCTAGACAGTGCTCTGAGGACCCGAGAAGAGCTTGTTCCTGTGGAGTTATTTATTTGACAATAACCTCCGTAATCATTCAATCCAGGAGATCTTCAAAATTAAGCACTACATATCAAAACGCATGTTGAAGAATCTGAGGAATTTCTCCTGCATCTGCATATGTGCCCGGTGCTGTTTGGGGTATATTCTGAAGAAAAAAGAAAGAAAGTACAAATCTGGGCCTGCTGGTAATCAGAAAACATCTTATTGCCAGGCATGGTGGAACACGCCTGTAATCCCAGGAATGCGAAGGTAGAAGCTGGAGGAGCAGGAGATCAAGGATATCCCTTGGCTATCTAGAAAGTTCCAGGCCAGCCTGGGATCCAGGAGGCCCTGTCTCAAAGAAACAGAACAATCCACCTACAGAACAGTGCAAGTATAATGAATAGAACCATGGAGATAAATAGAGCAAGTTCTGGAGATGGGGGAAAAAAGCAAAAAGCACCCCAAAGTCCTCTCCAAATGGCTTATCTGCTTCTGGAAGGATTCAGTAGCTTGAAAAGACCAGGGCAATTGATCCCATGAGGACGATGCATGGAGAGCTTTGCTTTTGGCCAGCGCAGCTGCACGTAATGGACAACTACCTCAAAGAGAAAGAGGGCTTGACAAGGGCACAGTGCGCATATTACAGACGAGTGGCGGAAACATGCAAACGCCCCACTAAGAACAAGGTATTTTCTAGCACAGAAGGAAGGCGCTGTCTCTCTCCCTGACAGCAACGATGGCATGCCATGTGTAGAACTGTCCAGGTTTACAAGATGGAAAAGGCCCAGAGGCTTGTTGGTACAGATACTTCAGAATCTTGTGGGCCTTGTCTGTTGTCACCTAGCTCAACAGTCTAGAGCCACAGCTTAAGTCGAAACCAGAACTCTGGTTCTTAGGGCTGGCATGTAGCTCAGTGGTAGAAATCATGTCTAATGTGCATGGGGTCCTGAGTTCTACCTCACCCCAAACACCCCAAACTAAAAAAAACTTCATCATTTAAAAAGTTGCAACTCCTTAAAGATTTTATGTTTAAAAAAAGGTTTGTCACAAAATATTTTAGTATTGTTTTTCAGTTCCCATTTCCCCCCTTTAATACATGTAGGTTTCAATAAGGTTCTGTACACATCCTTTTAATTTTTGTAGCACACATACTCCCTGAAGGTCCACTAAAGGCAGTATAAAAAATGGCTAAAGATTATCTGTGTGCAGTTAAATACAGCCTGTAGATCAGGAGATTGATATTTGGGGAAAACATTTTCCTCATTGCCAAGGTTGGGGTGCCAGACATCCAAGCTGAGCAAAGACAATCTGTGGGGTGATAGCAGAAACAGCCTTGCCTGCCCAGCATAGGGTTTCGGGAAGCCTGAGGACCAGAGGCTGGAGGGGGACGAGAAGCAGAACACTGTGATTCTGATTTATTGCATTGTGTATTACCATGGGCAGAGGAGGGCCTGAGAGCAAGTTCTAAAGCTTTATGACCTGAGATTTGCATTCTGGAGAAACAATCAAGATGAATGACTAATGCACACCTCACATGAGATTTGGGTTTGGCTCTGATGAAAGAACGTGTACCGACCTGAAAAGGGCTATATGAGTGTACAAAAAAGTCAGCTAAGCACCAAGTCCAGTGAAAGCTATGGTGGACTTTTGTCTCGGAGCCCAGGCCACTGGGACAGCTCTTCCCCAGGGAGGTGTTGGATTTCAGCCTTTGAGCCGCATTCTGCCTGTGCGTCACTTCTCATCATCCCGTCCGTAGTTAATAGTCTGTAAGGCCTGAGCTATGAGCACCGCCATCTCTCTGGTGCCAGCAGCAACGACTCTACACGACATGAGATCAAGGGGTCCGCCTGTGGACAGAGAGGAGGGAAGACAGCTGAGCAATGGAAGCCTGTACAACTTCTCACATATGCGTGCAGAGAAAAACAGCCCCCAGGCCTAAGGCGGAGTCCCAGGGCCGGTACCCAGCCAGCAGCCAAGAAATGAACCTGGCTATGTGGAAGGCACGGTGACGCTTGCTACCTACTCTGCCCTAGTGGGAATGCGGCCAAGACTGCACGGAACTGAGCCCCTAAGCCATCCCGTCTTGGAGTTATGATGATTCTGTGAAATGTGCAACTGGGTGAGACTAGGATGGGCGTGGAGTGCCCTGTATTTCACCATACAGCAGGCTGCAGTGGCTGAAATGCATCGTCTGGGAGGCCCGAGCCTGCCTCCCCACATGCTCCATGCACCTTCAGAGGTGTATGATATAGGAGCCTCACAACCAGCACAGGTTCAAGCCCCCAGGTGCTCGAGTGATAAAAACCCACAGCGTAAGGTGCTTTCTCGTGTGAGACTGCCCTGTACTGCTCACTACCAAAAGGCAGCACAACTTAGAAAGATTTGTCGGAAGTCAGGGGTGGGGGCTTCTAGCAGTAAGTGAATGATCAGATTGTGGATGGGACTCGGTGGCACAAAGACAGGAGAACAGGACAACTGCTGGGTGCTGGGCTGACTGGGCTCCGATCCTGGGGAAGCATCCACTCTGTCTAAGCCACTGGATTGCTGCAGGAGCCGTGGGAAAACTGCCAGTGGTGGTGAACACTGCTGCTTCTGCCATTAGCCCAGTGACTCTAACTTACGCGGTAGCAAGGGCAGGACCACAGCCCTCTGTGGTTGCCCACTGCCTGGCATGCACCCTGGTGCAGTCTTATCTGCAGAATTCAGAGGAAGTGGAGGAATCCAGTGTGGTTCTGACCCTGGGCATGTCCTATTCTGTGTCACCCGCTTTAGTGTCTGTGAGGGGGTGGCCAAGGGCCACAGAGCTTACCTGAGGTGTCCATCACAATGCCACCCGCTTCTCTAATGATGACGGTGGCAGCCGCCAGGTCCCAGCAGTGAAGGCCAAACTGATAATAGGCATCGGCGGCACCCGAGGCCAGGTAGCAGAGAGCCAAGGTGGAGCTCCCAATCACTCGGACCCTAGAGGGCGCGAAGGACGAATATGGGTGAGAGAGGGCCCCTGTCAGGGCATGCTTGATGTATACCCCGCCACCCACCCCCCGCTAGGCACACTAGGCACTCAGAAATGAGCCACAGGATTCTGCCAGCAAGTTCGGGGTGCGGAAGGCAGGCCTGGAGGGAGTGGCCTGGGCGGTCGACTTTTCCACAATGCGCTGCACCAAGACTGGTGACAAGGGGCTCCTGAGTGTGAACTGTGGCCAGTGCAGCCAGAAGCCTGAAGTTCTTACTCTACTCAACGTTGGAAGGTTACATGTAGGGCCTTCAAGTGGCTGGTGGGTTACCGCGTAGATGAGATGAAGTCATTTTGACTTAAGCGCATAGGAACAATAAATAACCAACAGTTTATCTAGCAGGCAGGCCCAACCTGTGGCAGGCAGACCACATTTGTCCTAGGCTAGGTATGGATTGTGAGCCAACCTGTTTATAAGCGAGCACACCACACCACAACATCAGATGGTTGGACACTCTGGTGGTTTGAGCGGGAGCGGCCCCCATAGGTGCATGTATTTCAGTACTTGGTCCCCCAGTTGGTGGAACTGTTTGGAAAAGATTGGGAGGTGTGGCCATGTTGGCGGGAGTGTGTCACTAAGGTGGGCTTTGAGGTTTCAAAAGCCCATGTTCCCAGTTACCTCCCTTGGCCTTGTGGTTGCTGTCTCAGGACGTGAGCTCTCAGCTGTCTGCTCCAGCACTGCGCCTGCCTAATGCCATGCTCCCCACCATGACAGTCGTGAACTCTGACCCTCCGAAACTGTAAGCCACAAGTGAGCTCTTTCCTCTATGAGTTGCCTTGTTCACAGTATCTGACCATAGCAATAGTAAAGTAACTAAGACAGATACCCCTGGTCCAAAGCAAGGGCACAGAGAAACTCTAAAGACCCATAAGACTCACTGATTGAGGGCCTAAACTTAGTTACTTGGCTTTCATACACAGACTGGAAGGACACAGAACCCATCCACTTCCTGACACCCGGCGGCCAGGGTGGGTGATGGCGCACTGCGTGCCTCTCTGAGCCTGATGTCAGCAGCCTCCTGTCCTACCTCTCCATGCCTCTTCACATCCCTTGGGACACTTTAGCCAAGAGCACATTTGATTTTAACCCACTGGCTACGGGACTGAGGATCTGTACCCATGAGCCTTTGCGTGTAGCAGCCGCTCCATGTTGCTCAGGAATACTTTCAGAGTATCGGGGTCACGTTTGGGCCCGATTTCTGTCAGAACCAAGGCCTTCGCGAGATCTGCAAGAAAGAATTTCCCCCGTCAACACAAAGACTGAGCCCCGGCTCTAACGGGATCACCTGAGTTCGCTCTAGAGTGGCTGAGATTATGTGGTCTTTCTGCGGTGATGGGCAAAGGAGAAACTAACCCGCTCCAATTCTAGTTGTCATTGCCCTGTGTTGTTTTTGTTTGGGACTGCATGCTGAGGAAAACTCTCCAGTCTCCTCTCAGGGACCACCCCCACCACACAGAGGAGCACAAAGACTTTAGGAGGAGAATCCAGTGGCTTATAAAAATAGCTGTCAAACCATCCCACAGTGGCAATGTTCCATGTTTGAAGACTAAAAATAAACCCAGCACATCAGATAAATCTTTCTGTGAGGGTTTCAAGGCCTTTGTCTGCTGTCTGCTCTGATCATAGGAGTGGATAGCTTCCCGTGGAGAAGGTGACTTAGGCTCTGTGGTGTGATCTGGATGCAGAGGGGCTGACACCTGGAAACTCATGGCGGCTTTCACCTGGGGGCTGCGTAAGTGCCCACACCCAGATGTGTGAGGTACCTGAGCTGAGAGCCTGGCTGGTGGGTCAAGGACATGACTGAGACTCACTTTGGGGGAGTCAGGAGCACTTTGTCCTTGCTTTGCCACATGTGCCTACCTGGTCCTGCTTCAGTGGACAGCCATGATGGAGCCACACTTGGTGTCCTCAGGTAGAAACCTCAGCCAACCCACAACCAGGGGAAACAGCCTCTACTGTGCTGTTTTACTTGGCAGGCCTTATTCTGTGTGACACCTCCAAAACAACCTTCCGCATTCCAGATCCCCTCACTCCTTTCTACACAGGCACATTCTTGTTTTATACTACAACGAACCACAGTGACTCCTATACACAGCCATAAAGGGGTACACAAAATGGGCGGAGTAACATCTCAACAGTCAATAAAAGAACACCGAAGACCTGCCCATCAAACAGAAAAAGCCTGGAAAACAGTAAAACTCAAAATTAGAGGCCACAGAGCTTAGGAAAAAAAAAATTGAAAATATTTAAGATAGTGAATAAAAGGAGCTGGAGGGAAGGATGGCTCAGTGGTCAGACATCCTGCTCTTCCAGAAGACCACAATTTGGTTCCTGACACCCACACATGGCTCAAAACCACTTGTAACTCCAGCTTCAGGGGACTAGAGGCCCTTTTCTGGACTCTTGAGGGCATCTGCACGTGGCAGATTTGTAAGTAGAGGGCACCAATTTCCTATAACAGATATCTTAAAAGACAGAAGCAACAGAGTTAGAAAAAAAATACTAATGATTATGATTAAAGACTAGTTTTTTTGAAGTAAAAGGAGATAGGAAATATTCAAAGAACTATGTCTGTAGGAGAACTGACTCAGCTCTGAGATCTACCTCAATAAAATTATTGTAGTCTGTAGATAAAACATACAAAAAAAATACCCCCTCCACACACACAAAAGACCCCTAAAATAAAATAGCAAAATGTCCATGTGTATCTAGGAGGAAAACCAAAGTCCTTACAAGTGGAAGAAACTCAAACTGACAACAAGTATGGCGGCACTTTTGTAATCCCAGTATCCAGCAGGGTGAGGCAGGAAGGATGAGTTAAAGGCCAGAGTGGGCTACACAGTGAGACCCTGTCTTAAAAAAGAAACCCATCTTTGAACTGTTCACCTTTCACCAACACTGTCTGCCAGCACACAGTGGGGACGTTTTAGAGATTCGACACAAGAAGAGGTAAGTCTTGAAACAAACTTACAAGCAATAAGGCCAATGATAAGCAGAAATGAACACAAGGAACCAGGGAATACTGTTCTCCTGAGCCTGTGTGAGACACCATCTCCCCGTGGGCTGCTCTGTTAGAAGCATTTGCCCCATTAAATCGAAACACACTTGTCTTTTTCACCATGCTGCCTCGTGCACTCAGAGGCCAACAACAACCAGAGGAGTGTGGGCGTCTTCACCAAAGCAGCCGCTGGTTTCACCGTGGACTAGCGCTAAAAGGCTCGGCATTCTCCTGTCGTACACAGTAGGAGAGCAGCAGGTGGCGGGCACAATCACGAAGCTGTGAATACTACCAAATGCATTGAACCTTGAACCATGAGTGGCTTTTTCTTTGGAAGTAACCTTTACAGTAAGGAAACAAGCAGGCAGGGGATCTTGAGAAAGTAAAATTGTTAGGACTTGAACATTTGGGAGTGAAGAAGAAAAAGTGAGCCCACCGCTTCATCAACACCACCAGATAAGAATTCAAGAGGAGCTTGGCATCCAGGAAAGCCTGTGTCAGCGATGGTAGCACGTGACTGTGACCCAGCACTGACGGGGCAGAGGTGGAAGGAAGGACCGTTGCAAGTTTAAGGTAGTTCAAGTCTACAATACTGAGAGCCCATTTCAAAAAATCAAAACAGATTTCCCCAACATTTAAGACTTCAGGCCTCCTGCCTCCTCCTCCTGTGTGCTGGGCTTATAGGCATGCACCACCACGCCTTTCTACCTACAAATCACAGGTTCTGGTTTGCTTGTTTGGTTTCTATTTTGCAGCTCTGGCTTTCTTGGAATGTACCATGCAGACAAGAATGGCCTTGAACTCACAGAGACCCACTGACTTCTGCCCCCAGAAAGTACTGGATTAAAGTCCTGTAAGACCATGCCCAGCCTCCACAACTCACTCTGTCTTCCACCTTGAGTTCAAGAGGTTACCTGACTTGCTGACTTGCACAGCCATCAGGGGGGAGAATGGGGGCTGGAAGCCAGTCTGCACTCTGCCCAGAACTCTCTCACATCCGTGACCAGAGGCAAGAACAGCTCGCTGGACTTCAAGGCACAATTGTGCTTTGGCGAGGCCAGGACACAGTATGGCAGTGTGCGGAGGCAGAGGGAGGGAGGTGACTGGTAGGGGCAGGAGCTCCAGGGACAGCAGCTTCTTTCTACCCGTTCTAACCTGGGTGCTATCGGAAGGGGGGGCAGGAGAATGGAAGTCAGACCACCCTTCTGGGGTTGGGGGAGGGGACAGAGGGGAAGTGGACCTATCAGAGCCTGCAGTCACCGTCTGCCTGAACTGTGAAGGTAGCCAACCAGGAAGCGGGTGTGTGAATAGTTCAGTGTCATATCAAGTGAAATCTGGAGCAAAGTTCACCCAAGCATGTTTAATGGCTGGCTTCCTCCCACTGCCTTTCCCAGCTAGGCTTGGATGGAGGCCTTTTGCCAGCATGGCTGGAATTAACACCACTCCGAAGCCAAACTAAACACTCTGGCAGGAGAAATGGGACAAGGTAGTTTTCCGGGCCCGCTCCAGGGTCAGAGCACTGATTTGCCAACCATCCTGCTGGGGTGCCCTGTGAGTTCCCGTCTTCTGCTCTGGGCCCATGCAGGACTCTCACATCCAACCTCTCCTCCCCTGAGGCCTGTGAGCACATCCACACAGCGCCTTCTCACAGTAGGTCAGCTCCTCACAGGCTGCCTTGGCACACCAGCCTTAACCAGGAAGGACCAAACAGTGAAGAGATGGAGAGTAAGGGTGCATGGAGAGGAACTGTGAAAAGATAAACCAACAACCGGCACAGAGAAGAGGCTGTTAAAGGAGGCAGACGGGCCGGGAGCCAAGTGCTGACATCTTGGGACTGAGGCCAGTGTCAGCAAACAGAGAGCAGGGACGGAGGTCGAGGCACTCTCTGATGTGCAGCCTCTGGCACCTAGGTTAGACAAGAGCAGAGGCTGCACTTGCCACCATGTCCTGCCCAGCGCTGCAGGGCCACCTAGGGCCTGCTAGGCGAGCATTCACCAGCAGCCCCATCCCCAGCCCTCACTACTTTCCAAACTCAGTTATGTGGCCATTCAGGAGCTTTTGAAGTCTTCCTCTTCTACAGCTGCTTCTCTTCCGGGATCCTTTTTCTTCTCCTCTGACCCTGCACACTGCCACACTGCCACGTCTCTGCCTCACCAACATACACAAATGTCCTGGCATTTCTGTTGCCTACCATAACTAGGCTATACACAATAAAGAAAACAAAACAAAACCCAAACTACTAATCACTGTGGGACAAAGGAAGGAAGGAGAACCTCCAGCTGGCACACTGTTAAAGGCAGGCAGTTCCATGGTTTACCTCCCCAAAGCAAATGATATCTGGAAATCTCTATGTTTAAGGGGAAAAAAGGATAAGCACAATCCTGGTGGCAGGCCTGGGACACATGCAAACACTGTTTCTCCACATAGCTCGTTCCCATGGTGTCTGCTCTTCCAACAGCCGGGTCAGCAATGGCTGTGGTCGTGGGTACCAGCAAGTTGTACCTGGATGCTCCGCTGGCCTTGGGCCTAAGCTGTTCTCTTAGTCTCAGAAGGCCAAACTGGCACCAGTCACTGCCACTTTAAAGCTGATAGACATGAGAGGACACAATAATGCATTCACAGCTCCTGACCACACAGACATTGCCATCACACAGAATAAGTCTTGTCCATGTCTACTAGGGATGTTGCATCCCTAAGAAGAGCTAGAACTCTCTGCCAAAGACGTCCACCACTACCTGTGTAATAGCAACACTGGGCATTTTCCAGTCACCTATCTCTACCTGAAACAACCTGAGATGAGCTGAATGAACCCCACCTGTCTCCCTGGAGACCTGGAGCCGCTGGCCATTGCAAAAGGCACCCTGGCCCCTCCTGCCGGTGTACAGCCGCTCCTCTGTGCAGTGGTGAATCACTCCGAATTCCAGCTATAAGGGGCAGGAAGAAAGTGAACGTACGTCACTCCTTGACACAGAAGTAATAGCGATGTAAAGAAGAAGGCTCCTCTTAGAGCCTTGACCGTGGGACTGAAACCGCCTTCCAAAAAGCAGTGGAGAAAAGCAGGCTTCACACTGCACCCAGCCACGAGGGCAAGCCATTTCTTAAACAAACATATTAAAACTGTATTAATGCTAATAAAATTACATTAAAATCGTCATAATAAACTACTGAAAGTTTCATTGTTTAGAATGGCCTTACTCTCTATCCTTCCTCTGGCAAAAAAGGCTAACTGTGACTAAAAAAAAAAAAAAAACAAAAAACATAAGCATCCTCCAGGTTGCTGATATGTGAGGAGCTGAGCACACATCCATAGAGCCAACAGAACCAGGAACCCAGGGGCAGCCCCAGGGAGGGCTCCTCCCTGTGCAGGCAGAATCAACAGTGTATCAGATAAAGCCTCCCAACAGGCAGCAGCAGGAGGAAGACGCAAATATGGACATGATGAGCCTCTCCCTCAGCATTCTGCTTCTTTCTCTGACTGCTTTTCAACGCCTGGGCTTTTGTACCATACGCTCATCTTCAGGGAGGTCAGGATGCCTCCAAGAGTCCTAGGTAGTCTTGATAGAAGCTTAGCCACCCAGAAATGGCTCCTTAGCCTGTAGAACAGGTTTTATTTTTGGAGAGGACTTCCCAGCAGTGTGTGGTTCTCTGGAGATACTTACCTGCCCACTCCCCTGACCCTGCCTGCAACCTGGTGGCCGAATCCAGGTATCATAGAATTGTTTGAGTCTTGGCCACCTGTGATGAGGTCCCAAGATAAAGGGAAATTTCCTGTGGGCAGGAGGGAAGGTAGAGTTGCTCCCTAGACTAGGCCGTGACTGAAAGTATTCCTGTGCTCTGTAACTAGACACACAGGACAGGATAGTGGGACTTAGATATGCTGAGGACCTGACTGAACTTTGTGGACCCCGGTCTTCTTTGCTGGAAGCCCTGACTCCTATTATGATAACCTGGTGGCTAGGAGAGAATTAATGCTCACTGGTTTCCATGACAACACTGAACAGAGAAACCAGCGGCTCTTCAATTCCTTACCTAACTGGCATCTACACCAGAAATGCTTTGAGGTATGTGCACACTCCTGTTCCCAGGAGGGGAACATATGTTGATATTGAGGAACACAGTATTATGCTGTTCTGAAGAGGGGCAGCTGTAGAAGACATGGCACCCCAACTCTGCTTATGCTACTACAAGAAATTAGGGCTCTTGTTGTCTTCCTGCATTAGCCTCCGCCCTCTGCCTTTCCTGCAGGTCTCACACCATGGCTTAGTACAAAAGGTTCCTGGGAATCCTGATAGGGCCAAGTTCTCATACTAATAGCCAGGAGGAAAAGAAGAATAATTAATAGAATATCGAGATGAAAACTGTCATCCAAAAATAGGAGCTCCCTTTTGTTTGTGACTAGATCACACGCTCTAGGGGTCAGACGAGACTCATTCGGACCATCTGCTCAGAACGTTGCTTTCCACAGCAGCTATGACTAGACCACAGGGGAAAAAAAAAAGGGTTAGCCCACCCTGGGAAATAAGCCCTAAAGCCACACTCCCCCTACAAACATTAGTCAGTGGTTCTTTAATTTCTTAGATTTAAAAAACACACACTTGGACATACTGGGCACGCCTAAGGCACATGTGAAAGAGCAATGCAGAGGTTGAAAATAAACAGGGGGGGCCACATTACCTCCTGGTGAACAGCAAATCCAATGCTAACTGCCACAGTGGGGAACCTGCAAGGGAAGACAGAATGGGTTACACGACACGTGTAGACACAGGTCCTCAGGAGCTACATGTGTGTGGCTGTGCAAAGGCCCTCCTCCTGCACACAGGCCCTTTCTGCACTCTGGCTGGGTTTGATTGTTCACAATGACTTTTCAGTTTCACTCACTGTTTCCTGTATAAACAGGCTCAACTAGCCATGCTGTCAGGTAGCTAACTTAGAGCCACAGCAGTATGTGGAAGCCTCAGTAAGACTGGTGCAATGTAACAATGACCACAGGTTACTAACTAGGGATGAGGACAATAGCCACGCTTCTGGTTCTCAGCAAAAGACCAACCCCAATTTCAGAGATTATGTGGAGGACCCTGTGGACGATGTCACAGACCCTGGACTGTAGCCACCAGACAGACGATGTTTCAACAGTGCTAATATCCCCATCCCGTCTCCTGCCTGAGCTCCCAGCAGGCAACAGTAGGGTGAGCCAGTGGTAGAGGGATGGTTTTTATGCCACAGTCTGACTGTGGTTTGAGTTTCGTCAGTTTGTTGCTGTGTCTCAAAATAATCCCTCCTTTGTGTGAAGATCATAGGAGCTTAAAAAACAGGAAGGGGGAAGGAAAGACCAAGTACTATGAACTTGCAGGGAAAAATACCAACCTAGACCACAAGCAGAATCCTGTGCAGAAACCCTCAAAGGCAAAGCCGAGTCTCCCCTGCTTCCAAGGCAGGCGCCTCCCGGCTTTCCCTCAGCCGTGTTGGCTATGGCCCAGCACTGCAGGATTTCTAATGGTTTAGGTCACAGGGTGCATCTGTGGCCTGAAAATACTGGGACTGCCAGGTCAATATTAGAGCCTGTTTCTCAGAGAACACTCTTTCCGGCCCCAGATTCCCCCCCCCCCCCACTGGGCTGCAGTTCAGGAAGTACTGGAGACCCCAAGGACAACAGAGCCATAGAAGACCTTAACAGGAATACGTAGCCCTTAGGTGGAATGTCATCCCTTGGATGACAAATAGGTCAGAAGTGAGAGGTGTGTCGCTTAGCAAAGCCTACTGAGGGGAGGGGTCGTTATGCACCAATCCCACAGCGTCAGAAGGGTCTCCTTGTTCATGCGTGACTGAGTTCTCAAGGTAACAGTCACTACGCAGAGGTCACACTTAATGTGTGCTTGGAACTGCCTTGCATGTAAGCATAGCATGGAGGCCAACAGCAGCCAGAGAGCTAGGTACCATACCTGGCTCTGTCCACCTATGGTTTCAACATGACGTATGTATATGCAACTTGTGAGTCGGGAAGTGCTGGTAGCATAGAAATATCTCCAATATCTCCAGGGAAAGGCAAGTTAAAAATACTTGGCCTCTGTGGAAGCCATCTCACTTACTGCACCTCTCGGCTTTTTTTTTTTTTTGGCTCTTCCTACACGGCTGTGGATAAGTTCACACAGCTCCCAGCCTTGTCACTGTCAGGGACCTCTCACTCTTCAGCCTTACTCCCACAAGCCCTGTCTGCAGTCACGAGGCCAGCTCCTGTGATTCTCAAATCTCAGTGGCACATCTGGGCTGTGCACCTCAGCCCCAGGCTTCCTTTCCTAACTCCACCTCTTTTCCAGGGTGGCATCTTAAAGCAGCCGCCCTTCAATTCAGTGTCTTTAATTCTAGCCAGTCTCCTAAATGAGTCTCATCTATAGGCAATTGTGCTTTTAATTTTTAAAGTAACAGTAAAATATTTAAGTGCAGGGAAAGCTGATCTCAAACTTGTGATCCCATCTCGGCCTTTGGATTATAGGCCAAAACATTTTTAAAAGAAACAGAACCCCAAAATGTAGCTCAAGCTGGCCTTGAACTTCTGACTCTCCTCTGTCTCTAACTCTCCAGTGCTGGGATAACAGGTGCATGCCACCACACATAACCCCTCCCCCCAGCATCTACCTAGTCACACCCCCCTCACGGTTGTGCACAGACACACGCAAACACGTACATGAATGAGAGAGAGGGTCTTATTGGAGGGGCCTGGCTGGCCTGAACTCACAGAGAGAGATCTACCCCTCTCTGTCTCCTGAGTACTAGAATTAAAGGCATGGGCCAACATGCCTTGCCAAAACTATTTTTTAAAATAAAATTTCCTTACATGATCTTTAGATTTCCCAAAGGGAAAACCTTTTTGAAATGTCATGATTTGATTTTCTTCCGCAAGACTAGAAACCTACCATCTGTTGACGTTTTCAAGACTTATCCTCTTGAGAACCTAGAAGCCACACGGAGCCCCGCAGCGGCCAGCTCCCAACTCCTGCTCACCTGTGCACGAAGTTGCAGGTGCCGTCGATGGGGTCAATGATCCAGGTCGGGCTGTGGGTGAGCACACACTTGGCCCCGGAGGCTGTGGCCTCTTCTGCAATGAACCTGCTGGGGCAGGGGGCTCAGCCTGAGTCAACGTCCATCACCCGGCACAAGAGTGTATGTAGCAGGCACAAGGCTCCAGGTTCCAGCCCCGGTACCAAAACGCGCACCCCCAAACCAGAGTGAGTCTCCCTGTTGCAGTTTTGGAGGCACACAAGGAAAACAGAGCAGGCCAGGCAGAGGTGCAGGAGTGCAGAGCGCCCGAAAGAGCAGAGGCAAGCAAAACTTGGTTCCCAATTCAGCATGGAGCTAGAGGTGGCGGCGAGGCAGCAGGGGCCCACGAGGTCTGGCTAGCATGCAAAGCAGAAGCTGGGCCATAGAAGGGTAACTGTCACCCACGTCTCCCTTCCCCACCTGGACCCGTTACCCTTCCTTCCCTGATCTCTGCTCCCCTTTGGGAAAAAATCTGGGCTGGACCAGGGAGTGGTATAGTTATTAGGATGCTTCATGTGTTCCCTGTCCTGAGTGTCTGTCCTCACAGTGGTCCCCTTTATATGCTCCTTCGGAGCCACATTGGCCATCTCCAGCTCAGGGGTTCTTAACAAGGGGCTCTGGGCTGACCCCTCTTTATAACAAGGCTCTCTGTAGATAAGGCTCCCTCGAGTATGATCTCTGTCCTGCTAGGAGCCAAAACCTCAAGCTGAACATATGCAGAAGGGAATGCCTGACTGTTAAAATGGGGCCAGCTAGTACCAGCTGCTTGGACCAAAGGCAGAGAAGCTCCTCCTACTTCATTTCCAGCCACATGTGGGCTTGAAGAGATCTGGCCCACTTAGGTAACACTGACTGTGGCATTTGCTCTGCTACTTTCCTTGGGCAGTCTTAAGGAGTCATACCTTTTCTAGCACCGTCCTCTGTAGTTACCCAACTTCAGAGAATCTTAGAGTTATGTTTTTAAAGAAAACACATCATACTCTTTTAAAAGAAAGATTTTTTTATTTATTTTTATGTGCATTGGTGTTTTGCCTACATGCATATCTGTGTTGTGTGGGGGTGTTGGGTCCCCTGGAAGTAGAGTTACAGACAGTTGTGAGCTCCCATCTGGGTTTTGGGAATTGAACCCAGGTCCTCTGGAAGAGTGGCCAGTGCTCTTAACTCTGAACCATCTCTCCACCTCTGGAGTACACACTGTACTCTTAAAACACAAACAAGGAATGGGTGCCAAAGCTTGAATGCAGGACCAAGCAGACAAAAGTGGTGAAAAGATAAACCTCAGAGTCAAGAGTTATAACAAGATCTCCATGCAATTTGACAGTCAACTGCTTCTGACGCTTTCTTCTTTTCTGGCTATTGAGCGTGGCGTCAAGTAGGTCATGGCTGTCTCCTCAGTTCATGAAGGAGCTGACTGATGCTATTTGGTCCTCTCTTCCCAAGCAGCAGTTCTGTGTCCACCAGCTGGCCCACAGGTGAGTCCAGGGTAAAGCACAATGGGAGGATGAATGGACACAAACGTCCAGCTTTGGTGGCAAGAATGGGCTTTTCCTATGTCAAGGGCCCAGCCTTATGTTCTGAAGGACTTACATATTCAACAGATACTGTTCTGTGCTAGGCACACCACAGGGCACCAGATGACAGTGACCTCAGGGGGAGCAAAAGACAGCGGGATACAGTGTGCAGCTGTTCAAGCCACCATCCTCTTCCCCAGCTTATCTCAAGAGGATATGGATGAGCACAGGGTTTGTGACAGGTCACCAGAATGAATGAAAGAGATGATGAGAACAAAACAGAATCTAGCAAGCAGCCAGTTCTTTAAAAAGAGTAACAAAACATACAGTCCCTATCCAAACATAAAGAGGAAATACAAATTAATAAAATTAGAGATAAAAAAGGGAGTTGTTAGAATAGAGTCCAGAAATATCCAGGAGATCCCAGAATACTCCAGTTTAGATAAAAGGAAATACATAAATTTTCTAATTATAAATGTATCAAAATTAAAAACAGAAGACATAAACAATTTACAGAGGCCATAGGAAGAGATGAGACTGAAACAGTAACTGTATAAGTACAAGCCCAGGATTAGATGGATTCGTTACTGAATCCTACAAAACCTTTAAGGAAGACCTAACGACAACAGTTCTCAACTGTTCTACAAAGCAGAGAATACCACCAAACTCATTCTGCCAAGTCAGTATCATCTAAATACCCAAACTGGATAAAGACTGAAAACACACACACACACACACACACACACACACACACACACACACACACTACAAAATGCAAAAATTCACAACAAAGTACTTGCAAATGACTTAAGAACACATTAAGAAGATCCTACATCACAACCAAGAAGATACAAAGTTGGTTCAATATTACAAGTCATATAATGCTCCATATAACCACACACACACACACACACACACACACACACACACACACAGACACACAGACTTAAGGATGGAAACCATCTAGATAGGTGCCAAAAAGGCATTTGACAAAGTTCAAAATGACTTCATGATAAAAAGTCCTGAAGAAACTAGGAACAGATGAAACATAATAATAAAAAGTATATATGACAAAACTATAGGCAGAGTTACATTCAATACTGAAAACTGAGCTTTTCCTCTAAAACCTGGAACAAGACAAGGACAGTACCACCACCCTCTCCATTCTTAATCAACTTAGTGTTCAGAGTTGTAGGTCAAGCAGTAAGACAAGAGGAAGATTAAAAACAGGAGAGAAGAAATCAAAGTAGCCCTACTTATAGCTGGTATGATTCTATGCAGAATAGATCCTATGGACCCCACCTGAAAACTTCTCGATTTAATAAACTGTGGTGGTTTGAATGAGAGTTGTCCCCATAAGCTCATATACTTAAATGCTCAGTCACCAGGGAACAGCACTACGTAGAGGAATTAGGAGGTGTGGCCTTGTGGGAGGAAGTATGTCACTGGGGATGGGCTTTGAGTTTCAAGCCAGGCCCTGTGTCTCTTTCTTCCTGTTGCCTGCAGATCCCTATGGTAAACTCTCAGCTATCTTCCTGCACCAGGTCTGTCTGTGTGTCTGCCTTGCTCTCTGCCACTCTGAAACTATTGGTAAGCCCCAATTAAATGCTTTCTTTTGTAAGAGTTGCTGTGGTCATGCTGTCTCTTTATAGCTGGTTGGCTGCTGTAGCACTTTTTTCCTCTCAAAAAATAAAGCAAGATATGTGATAGATTCTTTTCACATTACTCTTGAATTACAAGTAGATTTGAAAAGCTAAAATTGGGAACTGGAGGTTTAGTTTAGTGGCTGAAAACTTGTATAACTTGCTCAGGCCATGGGTTCGAACTTGATGTACCTCCCTCAGAGCCCCAAAGAGGGCACCAAAAAGCAGTAGAAGAATCTGTGTTTTAACCAAAACTTGTTCTTTAATTCATGTATTTATCCACAGGAGAAAAAAATGGGTGATGCCTATCATGAACAAAATAGATTCTGAGGAGACCACCTTATGTCTTTTTGTCACCCATGGTTACACAGATGCACAGCCAGACTAGAATAATCAATACTCAGAACTGCAGAACTGCTATCCCAGTTTTAGAAGTTCAGTGTCTTTATGAGATATCACACGTGGAAGGAAAGGGAGGCCCTAAATCCAAAGCCCTGGTCTTCAAGATCCATCCTGCAGAAACCAGGGTCCAGGGAGGATCTGCTCTATAGCTTCTTCTAGAGTCCATGGCTCTTCTAGAGCTACATGAAAAATGCTGAAAAAATATTCTAATTTCTAAGGAAAAGATGAATGGCTTATATCCAGTCCTCTATAGGGATGGCTCAAGAAGATGAAGACCTCTGGCCTTTGGAGAAAAGTGACATCCTTGTGAAGGCCTGTGTCTCACCATGGATTTTGTTCCCTGCAAAGGGTATACCACTGAACATTGGCCATGAATGGAGTCTTCCACATTTTACCCTGTGCTCTTAAGATATGTTCTTGGGTGGCCAGGGAAGTATCATTGTCTGAGATTCAGAAGTAGGGCATACTTCTATAGAAAAGACTGGAGCTGGAGGAGGGGGTGTTTCTGAGCATGTGCTGTTGAAAGTAGAGCCCCCCCTCCCACACACAGAGAGTTTTAAAAAACTAAAAATGTATATGTTTGAGCAGGTATCTTCTGTGAGTAGATAAAGCTGTCCCTGAAGCTACAAATTATTAAGTGAAAAACCCAGTGCTGGGTGGGTTACCTCCTTACAAGCTGTTGGCTAGTCCCTGAAGCCCCCAAAATAATACAGGGTATTGCCACTGTTGGTGGCTGGCCATTAGAACTAGATGGCAATTCCTAAGGCTGAAGGCATGCTTTGGTTGAAGGACTGAAGAGAAATCAAGCTGGACATGAGCTGAAAGCTGACTCCTTGCTAACTAGCTGGAAGGTGCTAGAAAGGCTTCTAAGGGGAGAAATGACCCCAATGGTCTTATTCTGCTGTGGACACTGCATGTGTATTTCCGACCTGCCAGGCAAGATGTGCCCACTTTCTGACTGGTTTGAGGCCCATTCCAGATGAGAGAGTCATATATAGTATCATGGAAAGTCTGCAGCTGGGGACATCATAGATCCTAGTAGAGACGTTACTATTTTGTTTTTGTAAATGGCCATGATGTGCCTGTCAAATTGCCTTTCAAATATTTATGTTTAAGTCTGTATATCAGTGCTGTTGTCAATTATGAGGAGAGAAGCTTCTTTTTGTTGTGGATGACAGTTACTGCAGGGACTAAGCAGGACTAAGCAGGTCTAAGCGCTGAGAATGAGTGACTGTTGAAAGCTGAGCCCTAACTGAGGTGCGTCACCGACTCCACAGCTCAGGGAACAGAGAGGAAGGGGGACAGAGAGAATTTAAAAGTCAGAGGAAGGTGAGGAGTATTGTGGAATGTTAGCTTCTAGGTGGGACCTGGCTGCTACACTCTTGACCTCTTAACGGCTATAGTTACCTGCACAAGACTAGGTCTGTCAACACTCCATCACGGAATAGGGAGGGGCTTGTGAGGCCCAGCCCTTCCTGAGGATCTATAGTTAACGGTTGCTAAGGGAAGAAGCATATTCTTTAGTGAAGCAACCACTGATGAGTTGCCTGGGCTTTGTTAAGTAGCCCCTTTATCCATGTTTTTATGAGCAACTCACCTATGTTCCTATAAGCAACTCACCACCTATGTTCCTATAAGCAACTCACCTATATTCCTATAAGTAACTCTTGTAAAACTCATTGGTTCACAGAGAGGAGAGAGGGATAGACTGACAGACATACATGGAAGAAGGACGACCAGGAGACCAGTTGGGAAGAGCAGTATCAGAAGTTGGACTAGAGAGCGTAAAGAGGAGTGTATAAAAATGTTATAATGATATATATGCTAATAAAAATCTTAAAAACCCAAACAACAAAACCCTAAAGCTCTCATGTGTCTGGATAAAGAATTCTAATATATTTCAAAGACAACAGATAAGTATAATGTAAAGTAAATGACTAGTTCCTACCATGAAAACAAAAACCCTGTATTTAGTTACTGACTGCACACATGTAAGTATTTCTGGAAAAACCTACAGAAGAGTCTAATAAAATTATCTTAAATAGAGATTTAAGAGAGTAGAGGCTCTTTGATATTCCTAAGGAGACAGAAGGAAGGGATGGTCGTCAAGATGACAGTAAAGAGAACAGAAGCAATCGGTTTTCTTCCCTAAAAATGGAGGGACCAGGGCTTGTTCTTGGCAACTGGGGGTTCCCCATATGCCCTCCAGTGACAAGCGGCCATGCCTCTCAGCTAGTCTGCCTTTGTGTGGTGAGAGTGACTAGGGTGAGCCTCCTGGAGAGAGCACTTACCTGTGTGAAGGGAACCGTTTTCGCAACTCAGAAACAATTAGATCTTCTACTCGGTGATCGGTTTCTGTCACAAGATCTGCAGCTGATGTTTTTGTGGAGACATGTTTTTCTTCTGTGAGGGCTTTTCTGATTATCTGAAATAAAAACGTGGGGGCCAGTGAGATCTGTGGGTCTCCTCCTCACCAACCCCAGCATTCTTTGGGAACTGGCTGGCTCTGACCACCAGACACCCCACCTGAAATTCTACATTCAGATTTTACTTGGAACTACCTTTGAAAGAAGTTTTCTCTGAAAGAATAAGTTTTGAAAAAGGCTGAAGTTTCATCAACAGGTATTCCCCAAAATAAGGCGGCAGAACAGTTTTGCTTCCTAGAAGTCCCTGATTTAAAATTTGCAAGATTTGTGCATGAAAACTTTCTTCTGATTCACCTTATGAACCACACGAGCATTTGCTGTGCTTGTGATGCAGGCTACAGACATCCCCACCAGAGCTGAACTGTGTCATAGGAACTGAGGCTGGCTCGATGCTGCTGTATCCAGAACAGCACGAGCCAGCCACCAACAGGAACACATCAGTGATACCGGAGGCTTCTCAGGAACCACAAAAGCATAGGCTCTACAGCTGGGCAAGCTGCCAGCACATCTGTTGAACCCACTATGACTAAACATAGGGTAAGGCCTAGTTGGCACCATTTCTGCTGTCCTGTTGTAGTTCCAGGAACCCTGGAGGCTCAAACAGGAAACCAGAGCACAGTCCGTCTATCTCTGAATGCTTCAGGAGGATCAGCTCCAGTCTGTGAAAGAAAAATGCCACCTCCAGTTCTATGTGGGGCTGTTTTCTCCATGTCTGTCTGTCCAAAACTGTATAAAAGTGGTGAAGTCAGGACACCTAAGTAGACCTGACATATTCCCTCCAGAACCAGCTACCTCCCCAAATCATGTATTTCTCTTCAAAGTGCCATCAAGGACTGGCAAGTGGCTCATCTATGCAAGCCAGATGACCTGAATCCGGTCTCCAGAATCTTCGTAAAGGTGGAAGGAGAAACACGATGCACAAAGCTGTCCTTTTGTCTCCACCTGTGCGCCATGGAGCACACTGATAATGAACTAATAAAGTACTACCCAGACTGGCTATGCAGACTTGACACCCTGTGCCCATTATGACTGCTGGTATCTAACCAGCACTATTTGGCCCACGCTATGTGCCAGTGATGCCAAGCTGAAGGAGCTCACACCATGTGTCTACCTAGGTGACACTGTTTTTAAATATGGGCCGCAAAGAGCTGGGGGCTATGGTGCAAGCCTGTAATCCCAGCACTCAGGGAGGCAGAGGCAGGCAGATCTCTGTGAGTTTGAGGCCAGGCTGGTCTACAAAGCGAGTCCAGGGCAGCCAGGGCTACACGGAGAAGCCGTGTTTTGGAAAAAAAAAAGAAAATTGGGGCTGCAAAAATAACAGATCTGCATGCTAGATGATTTGAAAGACGATCAACACCACAGACATCCAAGAGGTCACCTGCAGTCCATTAACTTCAGCTCAGCACTACTGTTCACATCCTGCCAGCCTCCAGCCTGCGCTGCAGGGCTTCCTGTCTTGAATGTGCAATATCCTGCCTGTTACCACCACGCTTATTCTCTTACAACACCAATTTACACACAGTATCGCTCGTCAAATCAGTCTCCACAGGTACTCATAAATTCAACACTCTTCAATGTTTGGCTCACAGGGAGCCTGACATCCTTCAGGAATCCCAGATTCTGGGCCAGTCCAGGCAGGCCACTTGGGACTGTGTGTATATACAGGGAGGGAGGTTCCGTATGTGGGGTGCAGCAAATGTATCTGGTAACACGTGTGCTGTGGTGGGGGAGGCAGAGGAGAGGGGTCCATCTCAAGAGTCCACAGAGGCTTCTGGAATCTCACAGAAAACCGCTCACTAGGTTGGCCCTGGGGTCTGAGATCAGTGTTTCTGGCAAGCTCCATTGTGGTAAGGAGCCAGGAGAGTTTCATACCTTGGAGGAAGGAGGGTCACCCAGGAGGCTGGGGCAGACTCACGTGGCAGTTGTGTGTGGGTGTGTGTAAATGTGTGCACACATAAGGAAATCTCCATTTTGAACCAGTGCCCCCTGGGACATGCTTAAGAGGAAGCAGACCTGAAACCAGTCAGTTATCCCAATTGCACACCCTTGCCACCTCCATGTAGAAGCTGGACTGAGGATTTAAGACAAAGATGAGAAAAGTTCTGAAACCCTCCAGTGGCTTCTTACTGTAGCCAGAAGAACCCCTAATGCTAGACAGCCAGCCTCCCACTCACCTTCTGCAGGCGACCATACTGAGTTGCTCTCCTCCACCAGTTTCCGACATCCCTGCTGCTCACAGCAGGATTGGTTTCTACCCAGGGCCTCTGCAGTGTGGTCCTCTGTCTACCCCCTCTTCCCACCTGCGGCTCTTTTGTATGTTCTGTACTTGGCTGTGTGGCTCTCACTGCAGTATGAACTCCCTGACAGCAGAGGTCGTTCCCTGACACTGCCTAGCTGTCTGTGTGGAGATGTGCCTGGAGAACAGTAACTGCTAAGGAATGGAGGGCACGTGGACGGATAGAGTGCTTCCTGCCACGTTTCTTCCAGCAGGACCACTGATGTCCGTGTGAACACTGGCCACCCCAGTGCCTGTTCTCTTGGCTCTTTTTCTGGTTGTGCTAACAAAGTGTGCCCGGAACCTGCTATCTGGAACCTGCTATCCTCTAGACTGCTGGAGAACATGGCCACATTTCCTACTCTGCTTTCAAAGCCAAACTTAGCCTGCCTGAGGTGCTCACCCCCATCATAACCAGCCAGGTGTACCTCCATAATTGCATATCTCCCTGGCATAATGCACAGGTGGTCCTCACTACCCTGGCCGGTCAAGGTCCTGAGGCAGGGGTGTGGCAACTTTCTGGACTTGGCCTTAGACAGCTACCTCCCCCTCTTCCTTTTAGGAACAGGGCCCCCATGTTTCAGGAAGGCCCAGAGCTGCCTTCAAAGATCAATTACTCAGACTTCCCTCTTGTATAACTGGGCTTGGCAAGCTCTGCTTGGAGGGTGCAAATGGAGACACCTCTGCACCTTCAGAGCCGAGTCCTCAAAAAGACACCATACTTTCCCTTTGGTGGGTTTCTTCCTTTCCAGAGTTTGTGAGCCTTGGTAATGATACCAGGGCGGTCACAAGAGGCCCTTGGCACAGGAGAGAGAAGCTTGGCTCCTGGGGGCTCCACAAGCAGAGCCCCTCTCTGGGTCATGCACTAGCTACACTTCACCTGCTTTGGTTATAGGGGTCTGAAGAGCTTCTAGGCCAGCAAGAGCCTTGTCTCTCACGTCCACCCTCCTCCTCCCCATGCTGTCACTCTAAGGGTGGCATCCTTCTAGGACACTTCGGATGCCAGATTTTCCCATTGGTGATGATGTGAATGACAATGGCCTCAATAGGCTTCTATACTTGAATGTTTGGTCACCAAGGAGTGGAACTGCTTGAAAGGACTATAAGCATTAGGAGGTGCGGCCGTGTGGAGAAGGTGGATTCTGAAAGCCCCTGACAGTCCTAGTGTCTCTCTCTCTTTCTCTCTGCCTGTGGATCAGGAAATAGTTCTCAGCTATTGCTCCAGCGCCAGGTGTGAGGCCATGCTCCCCATCAAGATGATAATGGACTAAGCCTCTGAAACCGTAAACCAGCCCCATTTAAATGCTTTCTTTCCTAAGAGTTGCCTTGGTCGTGGTGTGTCTTCATAGCCAGAGGTCAGTGAGTAAGACGCCCATTCTTCTCTCTGACTCAGCCAGAAGATGTCCTCCTCCACAAGGAGCCTCCCAGAGAGACCAGCATCTGCCCACCTGACTGCAGCACGGCGCAACCTGCAGTTCCCCACAGCACTTGCTGACTGGTGAGGACCCCACCTCCTCATAGGCGTGAGCCTCTGCGAGGGCTGCCACACTGGAGGGCTCCAGGGGCACTTGTTGATGGGGCGGATGAAGACGCCTCGCTGTCAAACACTGAGCCGCCCACTAACCCCCCGGAGGGCTTTAGTAAGTGTTCCTGCGGTGCTGTGTCTAACCCCAGGGGTGGTTACAAACTTGGTTTTCCAGGTCCAAAGGACCTACAGCTGAGTGTGGAGCTCAGGGGCAACTCGGGGCTGCTCGACATGACCCCAAAGCCTCCATCCACACTAAGCCTTGCTTCATTACAGATTCTACAGAAGGTGAACAGTTTGGTTTGGGGGTGATATGTTGTACTGTGCTCTTTCAAAAAACACACTGTTCGCTTTTGGCTTTATTGTGCTATTGTGGCTGCCCTAGGGGTGGAATGTGCCTGTACCCCCCCCCCCAAGTGATGTTGCTCCTCTTACCCAGCACATCCCTTCCATCAGGTCCTGGTCTCCCACTAAATACGTCTTCTCACCACCCTGCCCTTGTTCTTGGAGACAGGGTCTTGCTATGCAGGCCAGGCCAGCACTGAACTGTCCTTCTTCTGCCTCAACTTCTGGAGTGTGGGGATTACAGGAGAGCAGAGAGGTAACTAGCCTTTGTATCTTCTGTGGCATTCCCTTCATACCCAGCCTGAACTGTGCCAGGGCTTGAGGCCACCCTGGGACCATCTCATACCAGGCTCAGCCTGGTACCCTCTTGCATGCCTCCCCTCATCTCTGTCTCTCCCGACACAAGGTCCCTTATAGTTATGATGACATCTCCAGCTATGCCCCAATCCCCGCACTACTCTCCCAGGCTCACCTCAGCACATCTACGTCTTGGCTGAGCCCCCTCCTCCTGGGTCAGTGGATGGTAGTAGCAGCATTTGGCTACCGGGGGGGAGGTGGCACTGACTGTCGCTTCCATGGACTGTGCTTTTCAAGGCAGTAAGCCTTGTCCTGAACCTTAGCAGCTTCAGGACAAGCTCTCCCTCCACAGGTGAGGAGGTAAGCCTCAGCAGCATGTCCTGGATGCTGCCTGCTTAGTGGACCCACACATAGGGAAGCTACATAAACTCACCTCAGCTATCGAATTACAGTCTATGGGCTCATCCACCTTCTTGCTCTTACCCATTTCCTATCACTGACAAGAGATAAGCTACCTTTCACAGCCAGAGCTCTAAGTTCAACACCACCTTGAGACC